GTCACCCTCTCTTCTCCAAGGAGGCAAGTCCCAGCTTGAACTTCCATTGGATGGAGAGGGAATTTGAGGGGAAAGTGTAGGACCAGGCTGAGTTTTAATAATCAGAACTAACTGGAAAGTTAGGGTATCTGAGACACCATTAGGGACTGAGAAAAAAATGTTTTGACAGAGAACGATTGAGTCAGTGATCAGAAACAAAGAACTGTTTTATATTTATACTTCCTGGGGTTGATAGTCCCCAGTTAATTAGATAGAGTATCTGGCAATGTAGAAATTCCACGCTGAGGTCTGCCTCCAAGCCTGTTGTCACTCTTGTAATTTTTTTTTTTTTTTTTGTAATTTTCATTTACACAACTTTGCCTTTCCCTGGAGTCCCAGATAACCACCCCCCTCCCTCCAACTCCAGTCATTATCGCAGAAGTCAGGACTTTAGCTCACATATTTCAAAGTTATTGACCCCTGGTCAAACCTGTTGCCCTAGCAGCACACTCTTTGAAATTTCCCAGGTCACACAAACTTTGAAGGATGGCTCTCGTGGCAGAATTTGGGGGTTCAGGGAGGGAAACGGAAACCTCTCCCGCATTCTCCCCACTCCAACTTTGTTAAGAGGAATTCATGATGTGCAGTGCTCATCCATTCTAGGACCTGTCTGAGTTTGAGTTTCAGTTCTGCCATTTCCCCACGTGGCCTTAGGCATGCCCCGTCTATTAAAATGAGGTGGTTGCATTGGGCGATCCCATTCTGAGTTGCCAGTTTTTTCTCTCTGTGTATACTGTCTCCTAGTGGTCAACTGCAGTCCTTGCAGCTAATTCACTGGTGTACGTTACGCAGTCCCCAAAGGGGCTGGAGTGCTGAAGAGGCAAAGCATGTCTGAGTGGGTCTCCCTACCATATATATCATCAACCACCCAGTAACGACCTCATCTGGGCTCCTAGGGTGACTATGGAAGAAGAACAGAGAGAGCATAGGAGACAGTGAGTACTTGCTCTGTATCTTATTCTCACCCTTGCTCTGTATTTTATTCTCCAAAGCTGTTTGCATTCCCCCTGCAGACTGGAGCGCCATGGCTAAAGCAATTAGGCAGGCTTTTACAAGCTGAAAAGATTTAAAATATTATAGTTGCCATTAAACAAACGTGATATTTGGATCTTGATAAATTCTCTATCCTTCTGAATCAAAGAAGAATACCACCCCCCAAACACACACACTTACATAATCACACTCAGTGATACTCAGATAATCATAGTAATGTCTGGGGGATGGTTTACAGTTTGCAAAATACCTTCATCTACGGTCTCTATTCAATCATTACAACACGCCCTTGAGTAAGGCTATCACCGTCATTTTAATACATGAATTTAGTACAAGAAATCACTTGTCTTCGCTAATTCTGGTAGTAAGTGGTGAAATCAGGACACAGGTGCAAGTCCTTTTTCTTTCCCATGTACTGCACCCGCACACCTCTTTATAAGGCACCCTCTGTCCAACCATCCACCAGAAGGCCACTATAGGGTCATGACCAGGAGCCTGGGCTCTGGAGTCAGATTGCTTGGGATTGAACCTTACTAATCGTGCGTGTGGTGTTGTGCGCATCTGTAACGTTTTGGTGCCTCAGTTTGCTCAACTGTCAAACAGAGAGCTAATAATATCTGCATAAGGGAATCCTTGGAAAATTCCAACTAAAAATCTCTCCCCTTTTTTTCTTAAAGATTTTATGTATTTATTTGAGAGAGAGAGCATGAGCAGGGGGGAGAGAGGGAGAAGGAGAAGCAGACTCCCCGCTGAGCAGGAAGCCCAATGCGGGGCTCCATTCCATGACCCTGGGATCATGACCTGAGCTGAAGGCAGACACTTAACAGCCTGAGTCATCCAGGCTCCCCCTTTCTTTCTTCTTCATTATTTGCTGTGTAGTGATCTTCATCTGGGAACCAGAGTCATTTGTTAAACTGTCATGAGGAGATCTTTGGTACCACAAAGCTCAGGCCATTTCATTCACAAGAGGGAAGTTTTACAAGCTGTGACTAATAAGAGGAATAAAGTTATGAACTGTTCAGTTTTCACATCTGGCCCTATGTCATGAGAATTTTTACATGCTAACTTCTTTCTAATATTTATATTAGAGAAAAGCCAGAACCTGCCTTTTAGTGGCTCGAATGAGGAGAAAAGTTGTGATTGGACATGAGCCCTGTTAATTATTTCAGATATAAAGAGAGGAGAGTCTGTCGCCTCATCTCAGGAGGAAGCAGTGGTCAGACTGTGTCCATGCAGCCGGTCACTGTTGATGATTTTTTGCTTGTTTTTTTGTTCTTGTCTTTCTAAGATTATGGTGGTGGGGGTGGGAAGAAGGGGTCTTTACTCTTTAAAAGGATGAACAGAATTAGAAAAAGAAATCTTGCCGGTAGCAGCTAAGAAACCAGCACAAGAATCAGCTCACTATTATTGACTATTACCTTAGGTAGACAAATTAAGAGGTTTTGTTGAACTCTTCTGGATTAACATCTGTTCTTTCTTAAAGTTCTGAACCTTTGCTGGCTGCCTTATATGAGCCAGTTAATCAGGATCCAGCAAGATGAAGGGAGACTCCCCCAGTCTTTGGTCAAACATTCCCTTAGGAGTTTCTGTATGGACGGGCACCTGGGTGGCTCAGTCAGTTAAGCATCTGCCTTTGGCTCAGGTCATGATCTCAGGATCCTGGGATTGAGCCCCACGTGGGGCTCTCTACTCAGCGGGGAGCCTGCTTCTCCTTCTCCCTCTGCTGCTCCCCCTGCTTGTGTGCTTGCTCTCTCTCTGCCAAATAAATGAATAAAATCTTAAAAAAAAAAACGAGTTTCTGTATTGAGTGGGATAATACAAGCATTAAACAAAGCGCGTGGGGTAAGGGCTCAGTATAGGTTAGTCAATGCTACAAACATTTCCACAAAGAAATAGCTCTGGAATTTGAGAGGGTGTAGCTGAAGTGGGGGTTATCTCTGAACATCCTGTTATTTTCTCACTCAGGACACAGAGCCTCAGGACCTCAGCCAAACACCTCTGCCCAGACTTGGAAAACATTAACATATCCACCACCAGCTTCTTCCCTTGTCGAAATTGTAACCTGTTGAAATTATATGCCTTCCCTTCTAAACCTTTCCCTGCTCTTTAGTTATTGACCCTGTTCACTATAAACTTGGTCAGAGATGGGCCTTTCAAGCCTCAGTCCAGCCAAGTGCCCTGGATTGCTGCCTCGGGCTCCGAGTCCTTTTCACTCAAGAGCGCCCCCCTTCAGGAGGGATTGCAAAGCAGTGGGCCGAGCTCCGATTAAGAGCCAGACAGCTGTAGCTGGGGGTGGTCGCACTGCTGGTTCCACAGATTTCTCGTGTGGCTTTAGATAAGTTAATTCACCTCTCTGAGTCTCAGACATCTCCACAATGGGGATGCTCTTTACCACACACCAGCTGTTACTGAGGAGGTAATTATTAATAATTGGATCGCAACGTGATACATGGTAGATGCTCAAAATGTTATTTTCTCCTTCCTTCCCCTTCCCTTGCTTTTATTATTACACGGCCACATACACAGGGTGAGTTACCTGAGAAAACTCTCTTTGACCCGCTTTACCCCCATACATATTTTTCAGCATTACCCATAACCTCTTCTGCTTTACTGGTACTTTTTTTTTTTTTCAGCTCTTCCTGTCTTCCAAGTGTGTAATTTAAAACTTTGGGGCGGGGGCTGGATAGCTCAGTGGGTTAAGCGTCAGATCTTGATCTTAGCTCAGGTTTCCATCTCACGGCTGTGAGTTCACGCCTTGCTTTGGGATGGAGCCTACTTAAAAAAAAAAAAATTTAATGCAAAGGCCAACATCTATTCTGGGTTCCTCAGTTTTCTGCCTGACAAGTAGTAGTGACCATCCCCCAAGAGAGCTTTCTATGAAGCAATTAGGACTCTGATCTCTGGGGAAGGAAGAAGGGAAAGGACATGTTCTGCTCTGAGAAACAGACCCATCTTCTCCTCTCTTCGCCAGCTGATTGATTCAGAGCACATTCTGAAGTTTGCTTTTTTATTCCATTTTGAAAGCATTTCCACTTCCATGCCCCTCATGTGTTTGCTCTTCCTTAGATTCCTGGGTCGGAGAACACATCTGGCCCCCCAACCTCCATGGGGTGTCCTTGCCCTGAGACACCTCACTCTGGGGAACTTCCTGTCTTGTCACACCACTAGCCATTTTTGCCATGTCTGTTCTTGAATTCATTCTCAACATCCACTTCTGTTCCTCTTCTGTAAAAATAAGTTGCTGAGTTTACTTTAGATTAAGATTCCACAAACTCTTCCTGCAAACGACCAGACAGCAAACATCTCAGACTCAACTCTGCCTGACATCGGCTGTAGACATACATAAAAGAATGGGCACGACTATGTTCCAATAAAACTTTATTTATGGACACTGAAATTTGAATTTCATATCATTTCCACTTGTCACAAAACATTTTTATTCTTTTGATTCCCCCACAACCACTTATTTTTTTAAGCTTACTATTATTACTATTATTTTTAATAATCTCTACACCCAACATGGGGCTCGAACTTACGACCGGGAGATCAAAAGTCACAAGCTCTTCTGACTGAGCCAGGTGGGTGCCCCTCCCCTGACCATTTAAAATGTAAAAAGCACTCTTGGCTCAAAATTAGGCAGTGGGCCAGACTTAACCTCTGAAGTTAGCTTGCTGACCGCACAAAGTGCTAGTTTAATCGTCTTTAAAGGCCCTCCCACCTTTGAGAAACTGTGGCAGAGCGAAGGCTTTTCCTTGCCTCTCAGAATAGTGTATTCAGAGAGGGTCCCTTGGGATAGGTTTGCCAAGCTTTTCCAAATGCTCAGGTCTGGGATGGGAGGACCCATCCTTGGAGGACGAAAGAGAGAGAGTGAGAGAGAGAGACAGAGAGGCTGGCACCTTGTTTTTGTCATCCTTTCCATTCTGCTTAGCCTGGATCCCAGCCCTGCAGGGTGACAGCCTGGGACAGCCTCAGTGGAACTTGATGTCTGCGTACTCCGAGTAGGTGTCCTTGGGCTCCCATGGTCTGAGGCCTGAGAAGTGGAGGGTAGCATAATGGAGCTCCTCTTGGTTATTCTCTGATTCTGAGGCTTGAGAGAATGATTTGGGTCTTGGACAAGTGTGGGCAACAACATGTAGCTCCTTCTGGTTCTTCTTAAATTCCAGGGAGTGAGCACCTGGAGGAGGGGCCTGGGAAGGACTGCTCGGTGTGGCTTTCCGATTCTGAGCCTGAGGGAAAAACAACCGTCATTCCTTCCTTCCTTCCTTCCTTCCTTCCTTCCTTCCTCCCTCCCTTCCTTCCTTCCTTCCTTCCTTCCTTCCTTCCTTCCTTCCTTCCTTCCTTCCTTCCTTCCACAAATGCTTGAGAGCTTACCATGTGCCAGGCACATGATTGAGGAACTGGGAATTATGTCTTGGGCAGGAACAAACAATAAATAATAAATAAATTTTTAAAAATCTGTGGTTTAAGCCACCCCTTCTGTGGTTCTTTGCTAGGGCAGCCTGAGCAAACAAACATGGGCAGATTCCTGGAGCCACCACCACAGTCAAGATGAGAACTGTCCCATCGCCACAAAGTTCCTCCCTTGCTATTCCTCATCATCTTCCTGTCCCCAACCCTGAAGCTACGAATCTGTCCTCCATCTCTACAATTTTACCATTTCCAGGGTGTTATAAATATGGAGTCATGCATATATGACCATTTGAGATTGACTTTTTTCCCCCTTTTTTCCTGTCTCTAAGGTTTTTCAACCAGTAGCTTCTTTCAATCATTTGTTCCTTTTTTTTTTTAGATTTTATTTATTTATTTGACAGAGAGAGAAAGAGCACAAGTAGGCAGAGCTGCCGGCAGAAGGAGAGGGAGAAGCAGGCTCCCCGCTGGGCAGGGAGCCCAACACGGGGCTCGATCCCAGGACCCCAGGATCTTGACCTGAGCCAAAGGCAGATGCTTAACCGACTGAGCCACCCAGGCGCCCCCCATTTGTTCCTTTTGATTGCTGAGTAGTACCCCATGGGGGTAGATGTACCTGTCTGGGCTTTTAAAAGATAGCATGCGCAGAGAAAGAGAGCCTGACAGTGAGAAAGGAAGCAGGGAGCATGCACAGGAAGTAGGGTGGTGCATGGTCTGGCGGGGGGTGGTGGTGAGGAGAAGTGGTTTGGGTGTATTTTGAAGGGGATTTGCTGATGGGTTGGTTGTGGGGTGGTAGAGAAGAGAGGAACAAAAGATGACTCCAAGGATTTTGGCTTCGGCAGCTGGGCAGATGTGGTGCTATTTGCTAAGATGGGCTGGGTGGAGGAGAAGCCTATGGGGTATAGTTAGTCATAAGTTCTGTCTCAGGCAGGCTCAGTCCAAGATGCCTATTAGACACCCAAACAGAGATGCTGCCTAAACAGTCGGCTATGAGTCTCAGCTTCAGAGGTGAGTTTGAGAGATGTAAATTTTGGGGTCATCCGTGTATAAATGTTCTCTCCTGAAAATATCCAGCATCTGGATATCCAGTAAGAACACTTACTATGTGCCAGGTACTATTCCAAATGTTTTATAGGTACAATGAGCATGATCCTACATGGAAGAAAAAAAAGAATGATCCTAGGTAATAGGGATTACTATTTTCCCCATCTTATAGTTAAAGAAACTAAGGCACAGAGAACTTAAGAGACTTGTCCAAGAACACACAGCGATGAAACCAGGATTGAACCCAGACAAGCTGACTTCAGAGCCCTGCTCTTAATCACTAAATATACTGCCTCTCGATGATATTAATAATTATCACATCATTAGTTATAATTAGTAACATCATCAGGATGGTAATAATGGGAGAGCCGCTACATTTTGAGCAAGTGCATGTGTTCTCATCCTCAAACCAACTCCCGAAGGAAGCAGAGGAAGAAATGGAGGCTCAGAGGGAGCGACTGATTTGGTCAAGGTCTCACAGATAGTAGGTGCCAGAGTCAGGACTTGAATCCAATACCTGTACCTTTTCCACCTTGACGTCCCTTGGGAAAAAGGTTGGGACAGGACAGGAGAGGGGCCAGGGGAGAAGTCTGAACGTAGAAAGAACAGGCAGCCCGTGAGCCACTCACCAAGGGGCGAGGGTTAGGGAACACGTTGATATAGTCCAGGATTGTGCTTCTCCGTGTGGCCCTGGGCCTCGGCGGAGTCCCCGCCTGGGTCTGTTTCTTCTTCAGAGTCTTCCTGCGAGGGAAACGACCCAGCTGTGTGTGCGCCCTGGCACCTCCCCTGTCCCCAGCCCCAGATCCACACACCATTGCTCTGGCTCCTAACTCACATGACCAGGAGGAGGCAGAGGAAAAGGAGGGTCATGATGCCAATTCCCAGAAATGTTCCATCGGCGAATGCTTTTGAGATGAGTCCTTTATCTGCACAAGGAAATAGGCAGCCATCTCTGAGCCTCTCCCATTAACCTGGAGCCTCACGCCCACCTGCCACTAAGTACTCAGTCTTTCAGCTCCCGTCCCAGGCGTTTTATCTGCAACCCCTTCTGTCCAAGTCTTGGAAACCCTGCTGCACCCCAGGCCCAGGTGATAGGCCTTCCAATTTGGATTTCCCTCTGCATCCCCAGCCACAGGGGCCCTGTGCTCTTTCCCAGCTCCTGCCCCAACCACACGACCCTGGCCCCTGCCCCACTCAGCATCCACCTCCAGGGGGCATCCAGTTGGCCCCCGGACCTGGCAGCAGCAGGAGGGCGGCGCTCTGTTTCCCGTGGGCGTTCCGGGCCTCGCAGCTGAGTCTGAGGCCGGAGCCCAGCGGCCCGCTGAGGCTCAGGGAGCTGTTGGCCCAGGGCCCCGCAGAGCTGGAGGTGATGGTCCAGGAGGCGTTGCTGTGGTTCCCCTCCAGCAGCCCCTCCCCCAGCCGCCAACGCAGGGTGGGGGCCGGCTGGGCTCGGGAGGAACAGCTGCAGTGCAGACCCTCGCCCTCCCAGGAGCAGGAGGGGCTGAGCAGCCGCGGGGGGTCTGCGGGAGGGAGGCGAGGGGTCAGAGGTGTCTCTCCTCCCCAGGCCCCGGGCAGCCAGCCCCCAGGGGTCCCCACACTCACAGACCACAGAGAGATGCAGGGAGACGTGCTGGGAGCCCAGGGTGTTCTGAGCTTGGCAGGTGAGGTCTCCTTCATGCTCCATTTGTATCTGAGGGAGCTCCAGGATCCCAGGGTCTGCGGGCTGGAAGGGGCTCAGAGTCTGTCCCCCCAGCACCCAGCTCAGCCGGGCTGGGGGGTTGCTGTGGGTGACACAGAGCAGACGCAAGCTTTGGCCCTCCAGGACTGGGAGGGATGTGCCATTCCTGAGGTTTTCCAGGACTAGGGGAGGGAAGAGACAGGACAGATACTCAGCTGAGGGCACAGGGACCGTTTGGCATGTCGACATTCCAGACACTGAGGCCCCCAACGTGGCCCCGAGAGGCCCTGGTTTCGCTGTTCTCCTTCCTACCTGTCCTATTTGCGTGCAGGGTCATCACTCTCAGGTTCTCCGGGGCATCTGAAACAGAGACAGGGTTCTGGCTCTAGACAGGCCAGGGCCTGCCCTTTGGGCAGAGAACCGTCCTTGGAGACCAAGGACAGGGAAGGGGAATTGAATCACCCGCTGACTGATTCTCTGCTGAGTGGCCCAAGGGAATTAACAGGTAAGAAGGGCTGGTCTCTGTGATTTCTAATAAGAAATATCTATTTGGTCTCTGTCCCATTCCTGGTACAGAGTTCCTAAAACCCTTGGAATTTCCTACAGGATGAGAGCCAATAAAGGTGTCTTGATATTAATAACAAGGGGCGCCTGGGTGGCTCAGTCGTTAAGCGTCTGCCTTTGGCCCAGGTCATGATCCCGGGGTCCTGGGATCGAGCCCCGCATCGGGCTCCCTGCTCGGCGGGAGGCCTGCTTCTCCCTCTCCCACTCCCCCTACTTGTGTTCCCTCTCTCGCTGTCTCTCTGTCAAATAAATAAATAAACAAAAAAAATCTTAAAAAACAGTAAATTGGTATTAATAACAAACCCCTTTCCACCACACCTGGGTTTATGTAAATGAGGTGACTTTTGGAAAGCACCTTGGGTTGGGGGCTGGTTGCCAGGAGCACCAACCTTGTGACTTGAGCCTTGAGGACTTCAGCCCCACCCCTGACTTCCAGGAAGGGGAGAGAGACTAGCGGTGGAGTCAGCCAGCCATGGCCAGTCATTTACTCAATCATGCCTTTGTATTGAAACCTCCATAAAAACCCAAAAGAATGGGGTTCGGAGAGCTTCCAGGTTGGTGAGCACGTGGAGGTGCAGGGACCAGGGCGCACCTGGAGAGTGGCGTGGAAGCTGAGCGCCCTCGCCCCGTACCTGACCCTACACCTCTCTTCCACCTGCTGTTCCTGAGTTACGTCCTTCTCTAATAGCCTGAGACCTAGTAAGTAAAATGTTCCTGAGTTCTGTGAGCTACTTTATCACATTAATTAAATCCAAGGAGGGGGTCATGGGAAACTCCAATCTATAGCCGGTTGGTCAGCCTGGGCTTGTGACTGGCCTCTGAAGAGGGGGGAGGGCCTTGTGGGACTGAGCCCTTCACCTGTGGGGTCTGATGCCACCTCCAGGCAGACAGTGTTTGGTGGAGTTGAATCCTAGAACGCCTAGCTGCCATCAGAGGCTTGCTTGGTGGTGTGGGGGTGGGGTGTGGGGGCGGGACCCACATCGGAGTTGGAATCGGAATTGTCAGCCCCAAAAGGCCTGGGACCCTGGCCCCAGCCCTGGCCCCCCTCACCCCTGTCCCTTTCTGGAAACCGGGCCCCGGCCGGTCGTACTCACACTGCACAGAGAGGTCCAGGGTGCGGCTCTGGGAGCCAAGCCTGTTCTCGGCTCGGCAGGTATAGCAGCCCGAATCCCCAGGCTTTAGCCCCGGCAGCACCAGCTCGAGGGTTCCGGAGCCCTGGGGGTGGGACCTCAACAGGACCCTGTCCTCCAGGGCCCAGCTCAGTGTGGCAGGGGGCTGGCTGTCGGCAGCACAGTGCAGTCGCAGGAACTGGCCTTTCTCAGCCTCTAGATGTGGGCTGTGTGCTGGGGGCTCCAGGGCTGGAAGCAGCAAGAGAAAGGCTGCAAGGAGGGACACCTTCTCCCTCACCCTCCTGACACCAGCTGCCCCCCAGAGAGGACCAGCCCCACCCTCCCAGGCCCTCAGTACCTGACGTGTTGGCACGGGAAACGCTGATAACCAGGTCTTTGGGGGCATCTGCAACAAGATTGAGACCTGGCTCTGGGGAGCGAGGTGGGGCTCCTCACAAAGAGAACGCTTCCCGGGGGCGGGGGGGGAAGAAATGGTGACCACCCTCAGGACATGAGTGACAAACAAGGGCTGAGGCGGCGTGGTGGGGCCCCACAGCGGCCTCTCTGGACCCCCCACCCGCTGCATCTCCCCACCTACACATCCTCCGTGCCTGTCTGCACGCTCTGACAGCCCACCACCAGACTCACAGGCCACATTAAGTCGGACAGTTCTCTCTGTGCTCACGCCCTTCCTGGAGAAGTCTACACGGCAGGTGAGGTGGGTGCCATGGTCCTGGGGTCTCGGCGTGAGAGTAAGCACCGAGAAGGAGGAGGACGTTGGTCTGGGTCCTGGGGCGGAGACAGCGGCCCCCAGCCAGGAGAAAGTAGGGGCTGGACAGTCCTCAAAGGTCCAGTTAAACACACAGATGAGTGTCACCTGCTGTCCTGGCTCCAGGATCTCTGGGGCGTAGACATCTGGCTGCTGTGTCAGGGCTGGGACAGAGAGAGGGCTCAATGGGAGCCCTGGAAGGGAGTGCTGCAGGGGGCGACCACTGCTCCGTTCCCAGAGTCCCCTCTTCCCAGGGGGGAGGGGGCGGAGGATGGCAGGGAGGGGGAGAGGGCCCCACCCCCATTCCCCCTGGAGTCAGTTCCACACCTGTCACTTGCAGATAGAACGGGTTTTTCACAAAGTTGTATTGCACGTGACGGCCTCTCTCCACCCGAAAGAAGTACGGCGCCGAGTCCTCCATCTGGGCCTCTTTGATCAGCAGGGAACAACTCCACTTCTGGGGATCACCAACGAGCTGAAATCGATCCTGGGGCACAGTCCGCACTGCCCGATTCTGGTCGTTTGTGGCCACTGGCCTTCCGACACTCGAGTCTGTCCCGGCTAGGAACCAGTAGCCAAGAGCGGGGGTATCCTCCATCCAGCCTCTCTCGGGGTAGGAGAGGGTGCAGGGCACGCGCACACACAGGCCCTCCTGCACCATCACCACCCTCTGCACTTGCAGCGAGAATCCTAGGTCCTGAGCCGGGGACCCTGAGGGAGACAGAGAGGTTCAAGCTACAACGCCCAGCCCCGGCTCCCTCCCAGGCCCCTCCCAGGCCCCTTCCAGCCCTCGGCCCACTCACCGCCCCACAGCAGGGCCAAGAGCATAAGCAGGAGCATCTTTGCACGATGAGGCACTTGGACCTGCCCCCAGACGCTGGGACGGGCAATGGGAAGGGCAGAGAGGAAGCACCCAGCAGAGAAAGCTGAGTCCCAGGCGCCTGATGTGTGAAATGTGCTCCTGATTCCGAGCCCCACATGACCCTTCCTGTCCTCACCACTGCCCACCATTATTCCACTAGGACTCTGGGTCTTCCCTGGGGCCCTGCCTAGTGCTTGAGGATTGCAGAGCTGGTCCTTCTGGCAGTCACCTCCCCGGGGAGGGAGGGGAAGGCTTGTGAGGCCATGGGGCCCTGGGTGGGTGGAGGGAAGGGGCTCTCCCACTTGGCCCTGGGTCACTGAGGAAGCAGAAGTGAAAGTACACAGCGAACCCTTCTTCAGACAGGGGCCCCTGTGGACGGTAGTTGGTGCAGAGGTGAATTTTGGGGGTTGGGAAAGGGCTGGTCTTGAAATTCAGAATGTCCAGTTAAAGTTGACTTTCTTTTTTTTTTTAATTTTTAAAAAGATTTTATTTATTTGAGAGACAGCATGAGAGACAGAGAGAGGGGATGAGCAGAGGGGGAAGGAGAAGGAGACTCCCCGCTGACCAGGGAGCCTGACCCAGGCTGGATCCCAGGACCAGAGATCATGACCTGAGGCAAAGGCAGACACTTAACCAACTGGGCCATCCAGGTGCCCCTAAGGTTTACTGTCAAACAGTAATTTTTTTAATGTATGTCCCAAATATTGCAATAGGACATTCTTGTATTAAAATTATTTGTTGGTGGCGCCTGGGTGGCTCAGTCGTTAAGTGTCTGCCTTCGGCTCAGGTCATGATCCCAGGGTCCTGGGATCGAGCCCCGCATCGGGCTCCCTGCTCCGCGGGAAGCCTGCTTCTCCCTCTCCCACTCCCCCTGCTTGTGTTCCCTCTCTCACTGTGTCTCTCTCTGTCAAATAAATAAACAAAATCTTTAAAACAAAATTATTTGTTGTGGGGCACCTGGGTGGCCCCATTGTTTAAGCATCGGACTCTTAGTTTCGGCTCAGATCATGATCCCTGCGTCCTGGGATCGAGCCCCACGGCAGGCTCCTCACTGAGCAGGGAGCCTGCTTCCCCTCTCCCTCTCCCTCTCCCTCTGCCCTACCCCCTGCACATATTCTCTCTCTCTAAAATAAATAAATCTTACAAAAAATTATTTGTTGTTCATATCTGAAATTCAAATTTAAATAGATGCCTTGTGTTTTTAGTTGCTAACTCTGGTAACCCTAGGCCGGTCTCAGTTCCACCCCTTCATCCTCGCTTGGTGGGCTCACTGATGCCCTGGTCCACCAGAAGCTCCCACTCCCAAGACCGTAGTCCACCTCTCTAGCGCCCCTTCTGCCCTACGATTGGATGCATTTACTTGTGTGGTTTTTGTTTTTGTTTTTGTTTTTTTAGATTTTTATTTGTTTGAGAAAGAGAGAGAAAGCTCACAAGCAGGGGGAAAGGGAGAAGCAGGCTCCCCGCTGAGCAAGGAGCCCAATGCGGGGCTCCATCCCAGGACCCTGGGATCATGACCTGAGCTGAAGGCAGACGCTTAACTGACCGAGCCACCCAGGCGCCCCAGGATGCACTTACTTATAATACCCGTTGTGATGAGAACACCTGCACCCACAGGTAAGGGGGATGGGGGATGAGTGGGATAAACTCACGGATGTTGTGCCCCTCACCCAGCCCTTCTCCTTGAAGCGACTTTGGTCACATAGAGACATGTGTTGGTCCACTGAACCTCCACGCCTGGGGACCTGGTCCGTGGCAGGTGCCATGCTGCACGCTGGGGACACAGGCAAATTAGACACTGTGTCTGACCGCAAGGGGATCCACTTTGGTAAATGAAGCTTCTGAGAAACAGAAAAGCACTGAAGTGCTCATAACTTCTCCCCCTGCCCGCCCCCCCCCGCCCCGGCCAATGCTGGGACAGATGGTGATGAGGAAAGGCACGGTCACTTCTTCCTGGGAAGCCAGGAGAGGTCTCCTGGGGGAGGTGACATGTGGCTGCTTCTGTTCTTGTTGTCATGTCCACTGTATTCATGTGCTGTGGCTGCTGTAACAAAGCACCACAGACTGAACGGCTTAAACAACGGAAGAAATTTTCCCCACCATTCTGGAGGCTGGAAGTCCGAGATCAAGGTGTCAGCAGGGTTGGTCTCTTCCCAGGCCTCTGTCCTTGGGGGTGAGACCACCATGGTCACCCCCTCTGTGTGTGCCTGTGTCCCCATCTCTTTTTCTTTCTTTCCTTTGTTTTAAAGTAGGCTCTACGCCCAGCATGGAGCCCAACGCAGGGCTTGAACTCATGACCCTGAGATCAAGACCTGAGCTCAGATCAAGAGTTTAACTCTTCACCGGCAGAGCCACCCAGGCACCCCTGGATGTCTTCTTAAGAGGACACCAGTCCTGCTGGATTTGAGCTTGCTCTATGGCCTCGTTTTAGCTGAATTACCCCTTTAAAGGCCCTATCTCCTAATGTAGTCACATTCTCTGGTACTGGGGTTAAGACTCCAAATGTGAATGGGGCAGGGGGCGCAATTCAGTCCCTAATACCCACCTTCTGCATTCTGATCCAGGTCCCCACTGCCCAGCCTGGGCTTTATCAGGGGAGAACCAGGGTCCCTTCTCCCAGGGAGCCTCCTGTCCAGGGACTTCACCACGAGAAGCTCATAAGAGGAAGGGCCTCCCACAGAGTAGAGGGAGAAGGAGGGAGGGATGCCTAGGTCCTAACATGGGCTTGACCTGATCATGCTACTGACAATTCCTTGATTTTCATATTGTACTTAGTTGTGGAAGACGACAACACTGGGGGGCGCCTGGGTGGCTCAGTGGGTTAAGTGTCTGCCTTCAGCTCAGGTCATGACCCCCAGGGTCCGAGTCAGGCTCCCTACTCCGGGGGGAGTCTGCTTCTCCCTCTCCCTCTGCCTGCCACTCCCCCTGCTCATCTCTCTCTCTCTCTCTGACAAATAAATAAAATCTTAAAAAAAAATGATAACATTGGAGGGGGGAGGTTCAAGTCCATGGGATGTCCCTGTACATTTCCTTGCAACCTCCTGTGAGTCTATAGTTTCTTCACAATGAAGTTAAAAGCAAACCGAAATAGATCATCACAAAACGCAACAACAGCAATAAACAGACTGATGACTGTAAATTGCATCTCAGCCCTGACCCTTCCCCTTCCATTAGACACCTACTCAGGAATCTATAATGTGCATCTCAAGCTTCACATGCTTCATGCAGGACTATTTCTCACCGCAACCCTGCTTTTCAGCTGTCTAAAGATCATTATGTGGCACCAAGTCCTGACCGCTCCTTTACCTCACAACATACACAGCCACCCACAAGACCCATCAGTTCAACTTCTTAAGTATTAACAGAGTCTGTCCCATCAGTTCAACTTCTTAAGTATTAACAGAGTCTGTCCACTTATTCCTATCCCCCTACCATTCCTTACCCCGGTCCAAGATGTCTCAATCCTAGCACCACTGACAGTTTGAGCCAGATCATTCTGGGAGGTGAGGCGGGGTGTTGCGGGGCAGGATATCCAACAGCAGTCCTGGCCTCCCTCTTCAGATGCTAGTAGCAGCCGTCCACCCCAGCTGGGACAACTGGAAAATGTCCCCGGACATTGCCACCTGTCCCCTGGATGGCAAAATCACCCTTGATGGAGAATGCCCGGATCCAAGCCACTGCCCTCACTCACCTGTATGACAGCCTGGATGCGGGACTCGATCCCAGGACCCTGGGATCATGACCTGAGCCGAAGGCAGACGCTTAGCCAGCTGAGCCACCCAGGTGCCCCAGAGTTATTTTTCAAATAGAAATCAAACCAGGTCTCTCTCTTACTTAAACATTTCAGTGGTGTCTTGTTATCTTTGGGAGAAAATCCCAACTGTTCACCATATCTCCAGTGACCTCCCCAAACTCACTTTGGACTCTTTTTTGCTTTGTTTCTGCGTTCTGACAGTGATCCCCTCCAACCCCCACCCCCTGATTCTCCCCTGCGCCAAGTTTATTCCCACCTGGGGGGGGCGGGTGATACTTGGGGTTGTGGCTGCCCCTCCCACTGTTCGGAGTTCCAAGTCATCCACAACGTTTTCCCACCCCCACAGCCTTCTGAACGTCCTGTGGCTTCCCGGGCCGCCTCAGAATTTTCCGCCCTTCCTCAGTGTGACCGGATCGCCTCTAACCCTCCCCAGCCTTGCCCAGACAAGAGCCAGGCAGCTACCCGGGGCCAGGAGAATCTTTTTTGGTTATCCTCACACCTATTTTCTCTGCCCAAGAATGTTCAGATTTTCTCTGAACTTATTGCTTTAAGACAGACAAGCACCCAGCTCTGCAGGCCTCCCCTCTCCACTCATTAACAAATGTTGAGCACCTGCTCCTTCTGCCCTGAGGTCAAAACAGGGGCAAAGGTAGACGTTGAGAGGAAGTGAGACGGAGGTGGGGGAGTATGGGGCGGGAGAGGTTGGGAGCGGAGAGAGAGAGGTAGTTCAGGATGCTGCTTGGGAAGGGTGCAGGGGTGTGGGCCCGAGGACTGGAGCGATGCATCGCGGGTATGTAGGGAAGGGTCCCGGTGGAGGATGAAGAGTCCAGGTCTGGCTGTAGTTGAGGCCCTGAGGGTGCTGAGGACCCTTTATTAGGGGAAGGGGCATCTTATCGTCCCCCGACACACACACACACACACACACCCCCTCCAGCCTCCTGCTGTCATCTGTTCCGATAGGATCTGTCCCAGGGCCTCGCGTCCTCTGCCGCATTTCAGCACGCCGCCTCCAGGGGGCGCGCCGTCCCCGCAGCGCTGACGGACCCCTGTGTAGCCCCAGTCACCAGGGTCTGTTGGTGGTGGTCCTGGAGAACTGCAGCTCTCCGGGGAATATTTCCCCGATGCTGAACAATTTTTGCAAACGTGGCTCTTCCCAAAAGGCTGCATTCGTTCTCACTGCACCTACAAATTATGACTCTGCTCCTTTCACTGCCCTTCAATAAACCG